GAGAGAAGAGAGAGAGAGAAGAGTAGAGAGAGAGAGACAGACTAAGAAAAGAGAAGAGAGAGACCGAGACAGAGACAAACTAAAAAAAGAAAAGAGGAAAAGAAAGAACATAAATCTCATCTCTACCTTGTCGCCCTGACCACTTCCACCCCCTCCCCTACCCCACCCCCCCCTCTACCCCCCTCCAATCCTCAACCTCACCTCCACCCGCACCTTCCACCCCCCCCCCAAAAAAAAAAAAATAAAAAAAAAAAATACCGGCCATAGACGAATTACAGGAAATGTCAGCGGAGACCATAGACCTAATGTTGGTTCACCTGCGGTCGGTCGCCTCTGACAGTGATGCCAAAGGTAGAAAGGTAGATAAAAATAATGTCCTTTGTCGCGCCACTCTTGGGACGCCTTGTGAAGATGTTACGAGCTGTTACCAAGGTGGCTTTTGTCGGGCGGGTGGTTTGCGGGTGGGCGTTCTCGTGGTTGTTTGGATCCGTTTTGATTGTTGTTTGGGTCCATTCGATTGGTTGTTTGGATTGATTGGATCATTCGCTTGTTGTTTGGAGTGATTGGGCACATCTGACTGTTTGCTTTGTTTGGAAGCCAATTGATTGGTTGTTTTGGAAATTCAATTTGATTGTTTGTTGGAGTAATTTGGATCTGTTGCTTTTGGAAACCATTTGAGGTTGTTGGATTGACCTTGAATTGATTAATCTATTTGACTGGTTGTTTGGAGCCAGTATTGAATTTTTGTTTGGGAAGATTTGATCGGTTGTTTGGAAACATTGTGATTGTTTTTGATTGGGGTTTGGATTAAATTTCCAATTGTTTGTTTAACTGACAATTTTTTTTGGCGGAATATGGACTACGGGTGGTGCGCATTTGTTTCTTATTCCTTTACACTGTTTTGCAAGAATCCCCCCCCCTCTATCTAACTATTCACCTACTGGTTATAATAATATGAAATATACAAAGTTGCCCTTTAACTGCAAGTTTAGAATAACCAAAGGATAATTTGATAACACGGAAGCGGTGGCTAATAACAGTCATTCCATCTCCGTAAATACCCCCCCTCCTCTATCTATCTATCTATTCACTTACTGTATATATAATAGTATGAAATAATATAGCCCTTTCGATGAGTTTAGAATAACCAAAGGATAATTAATAACAGGCAACGCAGACGGTAATAACAGTCATCTCCGTGTCTGTATTTTAGATGACCTCATTTCGGGAAGGGGAAACGGCTCCCATTTCATTTTTTTTTTTTTTTTTTTTACAGAATTTCGAAAACAAGAACCTAACCACCTAAGGACATGTTAGGACACGCCGCGGTCGGAAATACTCGACATGGTCGGCAGTCTTTTATATCCCCCCTCTCTCCTCCTTGCTCTCCTATCCACTCCCTCCTCCTCGCCTGCCTCCTTTACCTCCTGCCTTACTCCTCCTCCTCCTTCTCTTCCTCCTCTCCACCTCCTTATCCTTTCCTCTCCTCCTCCTCACCTCCTCCTTCTCCTCTTGCTCCCCTCTCCTCCACCCACCTCTTCCCCTCTTAAAAAAACAAAAGCGCTTGGCATCGGCATTCGCAACACGCCCCTCGCCAACCGCCTTTGTTTCCGAATTCCTCCTGCAGCCACCGCCAGGAATCCGATTCAGAGGCGAAGGACGCGAGACCCTCTCTTGGGGCTTCTGTCTGTCTGTTTGTCCAGCCGTCAGTCTGTTTGTTCGTCTGTCTGTTTATGTCTGTGGTTGTCCAGCCGTCAGTCTGTTATGTTCGTCTGTCTGTCATCTGTCTGTGTGTTTGTCCAGCCGTCAGTTTGTTTATTCGTCTGTCTGTCTATCTGTCTGTCTGTTTGTCCAGCCGTGTCTGTTTATTCGTCTGTCTGTGTATCCATCTGTCTGCCTGAAGGTGTATCCTTTTTTTTTTTTTTTTTTTTTGTATGTATGGGCGGCGTCCTAAACTCTTAATACCGTATTTAGTTTAATCCTAATCCACCGTGTCCGTACCGAAGACGACACTCTCCGCTGCCAGACGGCGCGACAATAATGTTCAGTAAAAACTATCATGTCAGAGAAGAGAAATGTCGCGCGGTGAAATTAGCTTTTTTGGGATCATTTTTTTTTTTCTTTTTTTATGTCATGTTTTTGGTAATCATATTTAAGAAACTATTTCAGACATCTCTTAGGTTTCAAAATATCTATTATATTTAATGTGTATTTCATGAAACTGAGACTCTTACTTGTTTTCATAATGCTAATTTCTTATCTTTTTTTTTTTTTTTTTTATCTCTGCACTGCTTTGCCTCCTAATTGTTTAAAATGTTCTGTAAATAATAATATAAAACAGATGCTTCTTAAACCACCTTTTCCTCCCTTTCATCCCAGACGTACCTACATGATTGAAGACAAGGCATTAAAAACTTATTCATATTATTAATCAATTCTTTATGCCTCTGAACTTCAAAGATTCCTCGTGGGATTATATCGGTTTTTATATTCATTCCCA